ACGAATGAAAGGTGGACTATAAATAATGGACAATCCGGCTGAAACCATGTTCGGTATCGATTTATGTTCATGTTTGAAGTATTCAATAAATTCTTCTAATGTCATATCACCTTTTACTTCAAATCGATCCCATAAAGTAAAATCTTTGTCAAAATATTTTTTATGTTTTGGTGCTACTGGTTCAGAAAATCCAAAAAATGGTAAAGCCAAATTAATAAATGCATTTCGATATGATTCTATTTTTTTATGATGTTGAACAAATTTATAAACTTCAAGACAAACAAGTCCAGTAACCATTGCTGTTGTTGTTGCAATAGCTGGAATAATATTTCCTGCAATTCTCTTAATTTTATTTCGATCAGCTTTTTGTATATCATAATTTTCAGCTCGTAAATTTGCTGTTGCTACAATATAATCCATATGAAAATTTGTATCATCATCTTTTTCAAATTCATGTGATTGAATTTTAATATCAACTATATCATCATAATTAGGTAATCGACTAAGAATTTCTTTAACTTCTACATCGTTTTCACTTTGACTATTTGTACGTATTGTACTCATATTTTTTTGTCGTTCGAGATCAGCTCGTAGTTGTTCATCATTTTCATGTATTATTACACCTGTTTTTGGTTTAAATTCAGGTACATGTACTTTTACAACTTCTTTAGCAATTAATTTACGATCACGTATTTGTGGTATGTAATACATGTGTGCAAGTAAATTTGATGCAGCTACAATAAAATCCAAATGAAGTTCATTATTAACATCAAATTTTAAAACATGTGGACATCGTTTATTTACACTCCAAAAACGATCACCTTTACTTGTAATATGATCATATGGAAAATTATAAAGTAATTGAGCGATTGTATTATGAAATTGTTGTTCGAAAAGATTTCGTGACCATTTAATACAATCAATAAAATTTTTTGGACGTTCTTCACCAAGAATACATTTAATATTTTTAATTATTTCAGTTTTATCATATTCTGAATGATTTTTAGTTGTTCGTTCGGCAAATTCGTTTGGTTTTCGTAAAAATTCTTCGGCTTGTTGAGGTGGAATCGTAAAGAGACCAGCAAAATTATCACGTGCCCATTCAATTGTATGTTCAATTAAATTTGGAAAATGACGTAAAGTACACACTGCTACTGATGAATCAAATGGATCATTGCTTGATGAATAGGATTCAGTAAGAAATGGAACAATAACTTGAACACTTGCTTTTGTACCTAATGTACCACTATCAATCAATGGTTTTTGATAATAGATACATCGACGATCAATATATTGACGAGCCTTGACATTGTCAAGTGCATTAACAACACCATCCAAATGTTCAAAAAAATGATCATCATAAATATGTTCTGTTTCTGGTAAAACTCCATCAACATATGCATGAACATTCATATTTGAATTCATTGTTTTTACTACTTCAGCTGCCACTGTCGATTTCATTTTGCCAATATCCCATGGACGAAAGAGAAATTGTCGATTTAAATTTGATTTTTCAATTGAATCCATATCTGCTAAGTCAACATGACCGTTCTTTAAACATCCAATACCCATCATAGCAAAATTTTTCAACATTTCACAACCAATTGCACCTGAGCCAACTACAAAATATTTCGATTTGCCTAATTTTTCTTGAAAATCTTCGCCAAAAACAATTTCCTGTGAATAATATCGTGAAAGTTTTGTTGGTAATTTTGGTATAATATTTGATTCAATTGTTATTTCATTTGATAGTTGAAATATATTTTCAGGTAAACATTCAATTGCATCAAAATAAAAAAATTGTCGAATTGGCATAAATTTTCCTGTTACTGCTTTCATTGCTTCTTGAGCAGCAATACCACCAATAATAGCTTGCATTGGACATAAATCACCAGTACATATTTTAGCAAATAATTTTATCCAATGTTTATTTAATTCATTTGTCAAGACTTGTTCACAATTTAGTTTTTCAACTATTTCATAGAATTTATCTGCATCAACATCATCCCATGGTTTTGGTAATGTATTATATTGTTTTTCAAAGTATGATAAAGCTTGAAATGCTAAATGAAGATTAATTGGCATTGACATTTTAGAAAAATCACAAACTAACATTTCAGGATTTTTTAATGATTCAGAAAATGATTTAAAATGTACTATTTCTGATTTTTTTACTTCAATTACAGTTCCACCACCTTCATAAGAACCAAAACTTCTTGTATCACCAATTATAAATGTAAATGGACTTGTTACTGAAATTTTAAATTCTCGATCATTAACTTCAGTCATTCCTTTTACACCATGAAACGTCACATATGAACCATCTTCGAAACCATGTCTTGTAACTGTTGACATAAAAACTACACCTACTTCATCATGAGTAATTTCTGTTACAATTTGTGTTAAAGGATTTTCACCATTTGCATCGAATACTTCGAAATTAAGACCAAAATCACAAAAGATTTGTCCAAATAAACCTTTTGTATTTCCATTAATAAATTTAATTCTATGTTGATGGCAATAATCACCAATTTTTATTTGATCATCTAAATTACCATCAGTAAGAATAAACACATTGATTTTATTCTTTTGAAGAAATGTTTCATCAATAATTGTTGAAGAAAATGTTACATTAACATAACTATTTAATTCACATAAATGTTTATTTGCAATTTCAGCACGATTTTGACCAATGTTAGATTCAGTAAAATAATATTGTGATGATAGATCTCTAAAGTCAACATTATCACAATCATGAACAATAACTGATTTAGCACCACCTAATACAATATTTTTTGCTATTTCAACACCAAGACCACGCATGCCTGATATAAGAACATGAGCACTAGCTAATTGATGCATAGCTTCTTTGCCCATAACATAAAGTTGTCGAGAATAAAGACCTTCATCGATTTCAGAAGTTTTTGTCGATGATATTGACGTTTGTTGTGAATTATTATTCTCATTATAATTCATTTCTCTATTAGTATGCTTCATATCTTCAATAAGATTTGTTGATGATTGAAATCTTTTTGATTTAGGAAAGTCAAATGCCTCGTGACGTTGATTATCACTATTGTCGTTAACAACAGTATGGTCTTGTTTAGACACTGCAACAGTTGTAGCTAAAGTTATTTCGTCTTGATTTGATGTAGAGTCTTGTAACGTGGTGGACATCAACAAAAACAACGATCAATATCAAACTTTGTCAAATTATAGATACGTTGTACTCACCAAATAGGTGTTTTATATATTAATAGGAATAGATCTCTTAGTAAGTTGTAATAAGCAATTTTTCTCGTAGATATGTGGCGCACGATATCTGCTTTGTTCTTACAATTTATATCTGAAAAAGGTAGAACGCAAAAGTGAAATGTGTAAAAACAGGAGAATGTCATGTTCTACATACTAACAAGAAAAGTTGCTTATTACAACTTACTAAGAGGTAAATGAACCAATCTAATCAAATACATGTTGCGATGACGAAAACGTACAGGATTAGTAGCAACACTATCCTGCTAGAGCAACATTTCATAATATCAAATAGAAAATGCTTATCAGGTTTCATGACACTTGAGCTTGTTGTATTTTTTACGATAGTGTTGTGCAATTATATGATTCTGAGGTTCTTTTCATCAAATATCTAACTGAATATGACTCAATAGTATGAAAGTTTTTTTTGGGATTTAAGTGCATTGTGTGAAGGTAAGATATTATAAGTCACATGTCAGAAAGAAAAAATTTCTCGATACGCTTTATTCAGTACAGAATTGAAAATAAATACTATTCAAGCCTCTACTGTAGTAAGGTAGATGTGTTGAGTTTTTGATCGAAACGCAACATAGTTCGAAACAATGACACATCAACAGCAGTTCTCCTGACAGAATTGGCGACACTAGATTGAATATGCATGCACATTTCGATATCGCGAAAATCGGCACTGGTCACTCAGAGAGACGTCCCGCTATTTGAGGAAAAAATTCACTCATGATCCTACATTATTTTTTCATAGATAAAGAGAAAGAACTCGAACAATGAAAAAGAATCGCATTTCTGAAGCATGCTACATCTAATAACAAACCATAAAAGTAGATGAGGCTCATCGTAGAATCATCTTTAAAAATGAGAAAATGTTCAATGCTTAAAAAAAACAAGTTGCTCGAATTTTTGACGCGTATCTTTCAAGACAACAATGGTCACCATCGATAATGATGAGAGTAATTGGACTGTATTTAACAAATGCTATTTTTTTTTAGTCTAAATAAAAATATATATGATTGCATCACAGAAAGTAATAAAACAGTGTTAAAGTAATTTTATTCATACTTAGTCGAAAAATGAAAAAAAGACGTTTTTTTCTAGAATGTTTGATAAATTTATTAAGGGCTCCTCTGCCTACAAAAAAGTCAAATTTGTCGATTGCGTGATTCAAAGCTCGTTAGATAGAGCAAAGTATCTACTTTTAAACGCACTATAGTTGATTAATTTTATGATGAGATTTAAGAATATTATATAGGTTTTTCTGAATCTCCCATAGAGGGAAATAACGTTTTTTCTCAAAATAGGATTTTTAGATTTTTACGTTTCCATACATCCCAGATTTCTCCACCATTTTAAATGCTAGAAAGCTAAGCTTAGTGTCAAAATGAAGGCAAAAATTAGCTCTAAAATACTTAACAGAGTCGGAGAGTGTGGGTGTGACTGAATAGATGCTCCACATCCATACCACATACTCAAGTTTAGTAAAGAAAAACATGCGAATATACTCGAAGTGACAATTCGTACGCTAATTAGTTATGCTAACATAGCAGTATATATGGGAAAATAAAAATATACATATATTCCATATTTAATAGAAAACTGTCAATGTGGGATCGTACTACTTAAGATAATGATTGATCATTCAAATAATGAAGTAAATAAAAAGTAATACAAGAAGAAAAAACAACCAATCTCTTCAATGATAAAATAACTTTATTACATTAATTAATTGCATGAAATTATTGCTTTTGAATAGAATTCCACCATGTTTCAAAAAATAATCGTCTTGATTTATCTGCTTGAACTTCACATGCTTCTGCTTGACGTAGAATTTCATCTATATCAAGATTTCTATATGCTTCTGGTCGATTTTTACTTGTTCTTTGTACTAATTCGTTAAATTCAGTAAATGATATGTCTGGATGAAATTGTACACCAAATGCAGAACCGATTCGATAAGCAGCAATATAATTCTTTGATGTATAAGCTAAAATTGATGCATTTGATGGCAAATCAAACGAATCTCGATGATGCATAATCCATAATGGTTTATTTTGTTGTTCTTCAAATAATTTTGATATAATTGGATCATGTTTTCCTTCAGATGTTAGTTCATATTGAACATAACCAACTTCATAACCATATTTACCTAAATGACCGTGTCCACCGATAGCATCAGCAAGTAATTGTGCTCCGAGACATAAACCTAGAATAGGTATATTCAAAGCAAGTTGAGCAGCAAGATATGATTTTTCCCACTTTAAATATGGATATATATCATCTTGGTATGTACTTTGAGGTCCACCAAGACTAACAATAGCTGAATAATTATTTGTATTATTATCTGGAAATTCTAATTGAAAATCAGGATCAAAAATAGGAAGAATTTCAAATGGAATATTATTTTCAGAGAAAAATGTTGTTATATAAGCAAGATGAGCACCGACTGCATGTTGAATAATGAGTACTTTTTTCGACATAATCTTGAATGATATCAAAATGAATAAGAAATTGTTTATTTTATAGTATATTGAGACATCAGTAAACAAAAACAAACAAAATCACTCGAAAGTAAGAACGAATGATAAATATCGAAAATTCATTCTAGAATGAATATGAACTTAAAAAGATATCTAAATGAAAGTGTAAGTCTATATGTTAATTTTAATATTGATGTTGGTTATTATTAGTAATTATTGAAATAATAGTGCATACAGTGGCGGGCCGCCACGAGGCAATTGCCCCACCCAAAAAAAATTTTAAATCGAATATTTACATGTTTATTTATTGACTTCTGTAAGCGAATCAAAATATACACAATTAGTAAAACTATCTGTACATCAGCGACACCTGATAGCGAATCATTAATATTCGTTCCGATAGAATTCAATTAATGATCAATAAAATCTCTCATTCGAAAAAATTCGAAACAACTAATTTTGCTTTTGTATGTGTATACGAGTACTTTATTTCTTATTTTCCTCTGTTAAATAACTGGTCAGATCTATAAATTAAACTATTTTATCAAACAATATATTGTACATAATCATTTATGTACTTGTTAAATGTTACTCACTCTAAGTTAAAATGTGTCGCATTTGTCGTGATTCGCAACACATTCCACGACACATTCAAGCACGACACGAGGTGCTCGATGCGACACATTTTCTCCAGCAAGCGTACGACACATTATCCCACGACACATCCGACACATTCTGAAATCGCGGTTCGAGCCTAGGTTTCACCGTATCTATAATTTTTTTTCTTTGATGCATTATATCCATCAATATTTAATTAGTACAATTAACATCAGTGTTTGATGCAACACCGTTAAAAAGTCTGATCTTGAGATTCAACCGTGCAAGACTAGTCAGATCTTGATCAGACTACTGCCAGGTAGATCTCTCTTAAAGTGAGGTCATTATTTCTCGAAATATTTACAAAAACTATATAATCGAGAAATATATTATATAGAATGGTGCATGAAAACTTATAATTCTCATGTGATAGTTCAGATAGATTATATATAGATATACACGCGGAACAAAATGGTGAATGAACAGTCGTCATATATGTACAGAACGGTTAAAAATACGACACATTAAAGTACGACACATTTTCTTGCTGGAACTTACGACACTATAATTTACGACGGAAAAAGTCGACACATTTTAACTTAGAGTGTGACAAAAAAAAAGTCAAATAGAATTACAAAAATTCTAACTTCTGATGTAAGTTTTTTGTGATATTTCAGATTTAAAAGTACGAGATTCTTAAATGTCACAAATAAATAACGTGTTGACAAAATATTTCAGAAGAATCAAGAGAAATGTTAATAATGAATCAATAATACAGCCTGCTGTATCAACAGATGAACAAGAAAAAGAAGAAATTGAAATTGAATCACCTTCGTTTAAACGCTTAAAGTTATCTGAAGATAAAGGCTCATCAACATCAGTATCACCAACATGGTCAAGAGCATTAGAGTCTTTAACAATATCTGCATCTTCACAACCATCATCACCACATTCAATATTATCTAAAACTTCGTCACAAATAACATCAACACAGTCGTCAAAATCAGGACATAAATCATCACCTACTTGTGCAAGAGCTTTAGCACTTTTAACCATATCAGCACGTTCACTAGCACCAACAACAACTTTATCATCATCAATAAGATCATCAACATCAACATCAAGTCCACAAACAACGACACCTTTAGCATCACCAATAAATTCACCACCATCGTTAACGTCAAATAGTTCACCACCAACAACAGCTTTAACATCACCAATGAATTCACCATCATCCACGTCAACTTGTTCAACACCAGCAACACCTTTAGTATCACCAATAAATTCACCATCATCCACGTCAACTTGTTCAATACCAACAACAGCTTTAACATCATCGATAAATTCACCACCATCAGCATCATTATTGCCACCTAATGAACGAGATCCTTGTCTTGGTCCAGCAGCAGCCAAACAATTCGTTTTTCTTGGACCATATCAACCTGATTTTAAATTTCCTACAGTTCAAAATCGTCATTTTTGTCGACAGTGGTAGTCCATTTATTCCTGGTTAGAATATAGTCCAACCATTGATCGTGCTTTTTGCTATGTGTGTCGTTTATTATATGGTAGTGGAAAAATTGATAGTTGGTTTACTGTAACTGGTTTTAATTCATGGAAAAATGCAATTGCTAGATTGAACAATCATCAATCTTCAGTTACGCACAAGCGAGCATTACAAACATGGACAGATTTGAAAAAAAACTATAATAATAATAGTGATGTGTTGAAATTAATAGACAAGCAACACAGGAAACAAGCTGCAGAAAATCGAGCATATCTGGTTGAAATAGTAAAAACAATTGTTTTTTTGGGTAAACAGGGTATAGCATGTAAGTTATTCAAGTATTATCTTTTTTTTCTTTATTATTTGTATATTATACGAATTTTTGATCATGTTTTTTGTGTATATTTCAGTTAGAGGTCATCGAGAACATGATCAATCTTCTGATAGAGGAAATTTTCTCGAACTTCTTGAATTGAGAAGTTTAGATAATGATTTAATTTAAAAAAATCTACATACATTAAAACTTACTGATCATAAAATTCAGAACGAAATAATTGAATTACTTCAACAACAAATTTTAACTGGAATTTTAAATGAATGTCGTCGTGCAAAATATTTTTCCGTAATAATTGATGAAACAAAAGATATTGCTTGTCATGAACAAGTTTCAGTAGTTATACGATTTGTCGATGAGAAGTTCAATGTTTTCGAAAAATTTATTGGATTTGAACGTATAGCTACAATGACTGGAGAAGCATTAACTGATTTATTAATAAAATGGTTAAAAAAATTTAATTTGAATTTACAAAATTTAGTGGGCCAATGCTACGATGGTGCTAGCAATATGCGAGGTGAATATCAAGGTGTAGCAGCTCGTTTATCGCAGATTGCTCCATTAGGTAAAGCATGAAAACCGAAGAACTATTGTTTTTTTTTCTAACGTGAATTAATCATATACTCGATTTCCATTTATTTCAGGTACTTATATCCACTGTAATGGCCATGTGTTGAATTTATGTTTAATTGATGTATCAGCTCGTGTGCCATCAGTACGAGATACTTTTGGTGTTGTTTCATCTTTATACAAGTTAGTTGAAGGTTCAGTTAAACGTCATCAAGTCTTCGAACGTGTTCAACAAGAAGATGGTTTAAAAAAATTGACTATTAAAGAAGTATGTGAAACACGTTGGACATGTCGATTAGAATGTTTGAAAGTTATTTTACTTCGTTTTAATGAGATTATAACAACATTAGAAGTTATCGAAGTACCTGATGCATTTCTTCTTTTAAATTCATTACTATCATTTGATTTTATATTTCATTTATTTATTATGATGGAGATTTATTTTTTGACAAATATTCTTTCGAAGTTTTTACAACATTCAAATGTTTCATTAACAGATTCACTTGCTCAAGTAAAAATAACAATTGATACTCTAAAAAGTTTACAAAATGAAACTGAATTTGAACATATATATAATGAAGCATTGAAATTATGCAATGATAATGGTATTGAACCACCAGAAAAACCTCGAACTAAACGTATACCTGTTCGTTTTGGTGGTAGTGATGATGGAACAGCAGGATTAAATGTTAAAGATTACTATCGAATTAAAATTTATTATGTTATTTTAGATAACATTATTACTTCAATAAATCACAAATTTGATGAAAATATTCTTGGAGTTGTTGTATTGATGGAAAAACTCTTTTTATATAAAGAATGTCTTAATGAAGATGAACTTCATGAGTTAACACAATTTTATTCTATTAATTATGATGATTTGAAAGCCGAACAACGACTTTACAAGAATCAATTGAACGATAAGAAAATGAATTTGTCTGAAGTAACTGAACTCTTTTTGGAAAATAATTTTCATATAGCATTATCGTCCATGAATGAATTATTGAAGATTCTTTGGACTATACCGGTTAATTCATGCCAATGTGAACGTAGTTTTTCATGTTTAAAAAGATTAAAAACTTATTTAAGAAACAGTATGGGAGAAGAAAGATTATCAGGCATTGCTCTTTTAAATATCGAAAGAAACTTTGAAATTAATTTAGATCAAATAGTAACAGATTTTATTGTGAAAAAAGATATAAGGAAAATCACTTTTTAAAATAAAGTTCTTTTTTAACTAATATATTTTTGTTTATTCATTTGACTTCAACAGAAAAAACTAATATAGAGATTACATTTAAAAGATTAGTTTTATTTGCAGCTTGAATGAATGCAGTTATCATAGAATATTTTCATAAAGCTGAAAATAGATTTTTTATTATGCTAATGAATTAAAGTTTATTGCCCCACCTATATTTGGGATGCTGGCCCGCTACTGAGTGCATATAACTATTATCAGTTACATATCGCATGATTTAACTAATCATTTGTTTTTGATTAATAAAACAATACTAATGTTCACTAACAAGACGCAATTCGGAATGTTTATATACATTATATCTAATCTCTCTCATGTACAGCCTGATGACAATGACGATGGTGAAAATTTCGTGCCGCTTGCTAATGTTCGTCGAATTACGTCTGATTTCAATCAACTACCAATAAAAAAAAATGTCTTCGATGTCGAGAAACAATTGATACAGTTCAAGGTCGACAATATCGAACAGCTTTACAACAATTACAAGATTTTTTTTGGCCTGTACGAAAAATACATCACAGTATTATTAATAATAATCAATTAAATGAACATGAACAACAAACTACTAATGTACAACGATCATTACGTGTTCATGAAAATAATCAAACTATTATCAATGATAATCTGAATGAACGACGCAGACAACATCGTAGTCAACGACACTCAGATACGATGGTTGTTGTATAAATTTTCTGCTCTTTTTTTCTTTATTGTTTTGCTATCTGTGTTTAACGATATCCTTTTTTTCCGAATGATGTTAGACCGTTTTTGTTTTTATATAATACAAACAATGAGCTGATTATATAGAAATGAAAATGATCTTTTATTTTTATGCAGAAATGGAAGAAGATCTGAAAAAAAAAGATTTATTTATCAAGACGATAATAAATACTAATGTTATAAGAACATACATTAGCATTTGATATTATCTTTCACCCAAGCAGACAAACTTTTGAGAAAACGCGTTTAAACGCATTTTCAGACAAAAAACGCGTTTGCACGCATACAAGAAAGAGAAAAAAGTTGTTGTGTTATTCCAGCTCAAGAAACGTGACTGTAATTATGGTCATGCATCTCGAGTATGAGAAAAACAACCACTTTTTCTCTTTTTTTGTATGCGTGTAAACGTGTTCTTTGTCTGAAAACGTGTTTAAACGCACAAAAAGGGCAAAAAATGGGCGTTTTTCGCTCACAGTCGGGAACCTCAAGTATAAGCAAAAAGCGTCCACTTTTTGCTGATTTTAGGCCAATTTCTGTGCGTTTAAATGCGTTTTCTCAAAAGTTTGTCTGTCCGGGCATCGGTCTACCGCCTATCCTATTATGTGACAGAAAACAAACTAGTCTATTTATTTTCAATAGTTTGTTTTGATCGTTCAGTAAAAGAATGTGCAGATATCTAAGGTGATATTAACTTCGATAAATAGAATCGACAGACATTTCCAAATGAAATTTTAAAAAAACCGGAAGGTAAACTAAGAGATTTCTGATTATTATCATATTAAAATGTAACATTAAGGAAACTATGCACAGAATATTTTGTGTTTGGTAAAAACCAGAAATGTAATTTTATTCTTACCTATCCGGTTGAAAAGATTGTTTTTTAAATATACAACACGTGCATAATAAAAAAAACAACAGAGAAAAATGACTGAAGAACTATTCTTATCAATGTAAAACGGAGATTACATTGAATTACAATAAAACGACGGACAGAAAATAGACGTATATATGTGTGCTGTAGTTGTTTGTCTTACGGAGATAGTCTACTAGAGAAACAGTTGGATAAGGCAGAAAAAAAGAAACACAGAATGAGATTGACAGAGAGAAAAAGCATTACTTTCTTTCTCTGTCATACAACAAATGGCTATTCGTTTCTTTTTCTTTTCGCTGTTTCTTTTCCTCAGTGAAGTAAAAAAAGCACTAAGAAAAAAAATTGAAGAAAGAAGGGGTGTGGGTGTAGGTAGGTGTTAAGAAGATCACACCCACATTATTTTTTTTAAACATCTACAAACTATAAGGGTATTCAGAAAATTTTCTTTCATATCAGATTTTGTAGATTTTTTTCGCTGATCATTTTGGTAAAGAAAAACATTTTGAATTTCATTACTCAATGAAATTCAAAAAGGTTTTTTACCATAATGATCAGCGAAAAACCTCCACAAAATCTGATATGGACGAAAATTTTCTGAACACCCTTATAGTTTGTAGATTTGTACAAAAAAATAAAAATGTACTTGCTTTTTATGATCCTCACTGTAGGATTCTTCTATGTATTAAAATAAAGTAAAAAAAAAAATTCATTTCAAAAGCGATGAAACTTTTGTCGCACACTAATCGAAGAGTATGTAGGTCTCTCATTTGATTGGTTGTAATCGGTCTAAGTTGGATATTCCTTCTATACCATTTGCATATTCATTAGGAAGATCAATAACTAATATATGTTCTAATGTATTTCTCAATAATATATCACAACTACCATGCGCTTTTCCTGCAATCGAAAACAGACATAAGACAAGAGAACATCATCATCATGAACAATTTTTATTCATTTTTTAACAATTGTAATAAAACAAATAAACAATGGAATAAATAGCAGTCATTCACCACTCAGCAAAGTGTCACTAAAATAACAGTAAAAAGAAGTTATCTGTAAGAAAAAAAAAAGTGTGACGAGTATCGATTTGACCCTAAGTCATGGTCCCGAAAGACCGATGCTTATGCTTCAGGCTCATTAGCAGTGAGTTAAAGATTGACTCAGGATCGCGGCTCGTCTCTTCATTTCATTTACCTGATTATATTTATTCTGTAGTTATATTCATATTGTGAAATTATAACCTGTTCTGCTGTTCTGTATCTATCGATGAGTCGACTAATGTCGAGTGTAAAGAACAAAAAAGAAGCATAGTTGCATAATTACAATCGAAGCAAGTGAAAAGAAAAAATAAATGTTGTACAAAAGATAGAAGTTTTCATAATTTTAAGTACTTCCTTATTCTAGCATAAATAATGTGAATTAGCTGCAAGCATTCTCATAGTTTCATTTTAATTTTCTCTTAAATATGTAGCAAGATATAGTTGGACTTTTTGTTTTCAAAATGGACAAAATTTTGAGCGACCACATTTCGCCGCTGCAAAAAAGATACGTCATTTTTAGTAATTTCAAGCAACACTGATTTTCTAGAGACTCTTGAAATCCTACGTAAGTACTATAACAACCACTCATGTCGTTAGATGTGGCCATCAGTTACGAATCGAATGATGTGTTATAAGTGCATATTTGATTAAGATTTATTCAAAATATTCCAAAACTAAGATAACTGTACACATTCAGCTAGAAAAACATCACTCTATATTTACTCTTATTTCTTCACTTTTATTCTTATATTTTATTCTAGTTAGCTGATTTCTTTTACCACAAAACGAGAACCAAAAGCGAAAAAGAAATTGTACGAATTTTAAGTAAAATGGTTGATCATTCTCTAGATATAAGATTATGTGTTTGATATAGTGCAGTAGTCCCACACCACCTCTGTTTGTTTTCCAAAGGTACCTGAATGGATTTCAAAATCTTGTTCTAAGTGCTAAACCATGTCCAAACGAAAACAATGAGCCTTATTCCCATATCGCTTGTTGGTCACGAACTTGTATAAAAAATGGCCACAAATTAGCTCATACGTTGCTAAGGACGACCTTTTCTTTTTCATCTATCTCTTTTTTTTCAATCGCTTTGCTAGCATATCCTAGCAAAGCGATTAAAAAAAAAGGGATGGATGAAAGAAAAAAGGCCGTCTTTAGCAACGTATGAGCCAATTTGTGGCCACTTTATAAACATGTCCGTGGTCAACAAGCCAAATGGGAATAAGACTCATTAGACAGAAAAACTAGACACTTATCATGAGATGTTAAAATCTGCTAATGCAATCATTGAAAGGTTGCAGCAAACACTGGATCAACTATTCAATGCATGTTTTCGTCACATAGATAAATTGTAGGAAGGTCTTAACCGTCATGAAGATATATTAATGTTACAGAATAATTTCAATATTGAATATGAAGAGCTGATAGAAAAGAATTGGCGTGATATTTTTCAACAGTTCGAGAAGCTCGTTCAAAAAATACAGAAAGAATGGTAATGTCCCCAAGCGAGTTTTTCTGTCATTTTAAAGACTTTAGTTTTATTAGCAAAGGAAAATTTCTAATAAAATAAATGACTCATTTTTAGGGTGTAAGTGTGGGTGATGGTATGGGTGCGGGTGTGGGTGCGAATAGGTAGGATACACCTTGCGTTCACATCTACGCCAACGACTACCTACGCCTGCACCCACAACCACCCAAATCCACAGCCGCACCTACACCCTAACACCCTTGAAGTGAATTGTTGTTCCTTTATTGAAAAACTATGCCTTCAGAATGAATGTCTTTGTTTTTTAACCTTATCGATCTCAAACACGTAGCTTTTAGCAGCCGATACTCACGACTGCGTTGAAAAAAGCTTGATAACAATGAGAACAACATTCATTCTATAGTGATTTTTCGATTCTTCTCTTTCCTTCAATGACTATGCATACGTTTCGTTGTTGATCTTTAATACAGACTCGCATCTTGTGCACTCTTGAAACAAAAGATAAGAAATCCTTCAGTAACAAATCATACACACTCGTATAACGACCGACCAAAAAAATTATCAACAAAAGAAAGAAATAAAATCTGTCCAAGGAGCCGAACGAGTTTCTACACATCTCCTGCCTGCGGCAAGTACGTAAGTAAAGTTAGTTGTAGATTCGAGTATTTCCACCTAATATTCGCAACAAAAGCTGTGCCAGACAGCCCATCGAATATACTATACAATGTCATACGTTCAACAAGTTCTCATTACATGACTTGCTAGTGAAATAAAAAACTGATTAAAAAGGGCTCTTTTTAGTGCGAATACCAGCGTTTCTGCCAAACATTCACTCCTCTACTTGTGCAAGATAGAACTCAACGAGATCTATGGATTGATAACAAATAAGCAATGATCCAAGTCAGGGAACAGATATCAAGGGAGCAGTACCTATGCGAACCAAGCCTCGGGACTCTTAATCCGAGCAAATATTCCCTAAGGTGGTTGTGCCACTCGTGACATCAACTGTGATAGATAGAACTCGATGAGATCTATCGATTGATACCAAGTACGCCCTAATACAAGTAAAGGAACAGGTACTAAGGGGTCAGAGCCTATGAGAATCAGGCTTTGGGACTCATAATCGGAGCAGGATGTGGATGTGGGTGTAAGGAGTACAAAAACATACAGACCCACAACCAAACTCACACACTAAGAATCTCGAGGCCTGGTTCTCATAGAAACTGACCTCCCCTCCCTATTACTTGTTCCTTGACTTATATCATCGCGTATTTGATATCAATCGATAAATCTCATCGAGTTCTATCTGACACAATCGATTGTACGGGTTGCACAATCATCTGGGCGAATATTTGCTCGGATTGAAGGTCCTGAGGCCTGGTTCTCATACCTACTGACCCGCTGGTACCTGCTTCTTAACTTGGATTATCGCTTATTTGGTATCAATCTTTAAATCTCATCGAGGTCTATCTTTCAGAGTTGATTTCACGAGTGGCATAAGCAGAGAACCGAATATTTGACGGATATACTGGTATTTGCACTAAAAAGAGCCCTTTTTAATCAG